GAATTTCGATGCCATTATAAATGTAAATATATTTCACGGAAAGTACGTACAAAACTAATAATTTTACTATTTACTTGGTTGGAAATAACTCTTTTTCAAGTTTTATACTCGGATACTGGATTGTATTTAGATTTCTGAATGTGTTGCAATTCCAGAATAATTTAGAACCAGACCGGCTTTCCAAACTATAAGCTGCATACGTTTAATGTGCAGAAAATCATACATCCCTCAATGGGCAAAGATTCGCAGTAGATATGGACTATGTTGTATACTTCGTAAGGATTACTAACAAACGGGCATAAACGACGTTTGATCAAAAATTTTACACTATACTAGCTCGCACAATTACAAACTTTTTTTAAACCGAAAGATACCCTTCCCCAAGTAAATGTAAATGTAAGCATTTACCAAATAAGCACAAGAAAGGACATTTAGCGTATGTTTACTAAAAAAATATAATTAACTTTATATTTTATGCGTGTAGAATTTGTGGGGAAATGCATACCAAGTAAGTAATCATCTTTTAATTGAGTGCGGTTGCTGAAGACGGCCAGATAGAAACGTGGTCAAAAACTGGCAATCCGGTCTGCTATGATGTACAATAATCAGTATTATAACCCAACCTATGTTCAGAAGAAGAAGATGCGATCACTGAAACAAAGTTTTTATTTCGGATTTCGTTGCTGTCAACAAACACAACGATTTGGCGTTCCCATACGGTGTACTGAGACATTTCCTGAGCAACAGAATCAGTCACGTGGGAAGGCCGGGCGCAGCCACAACTCTGACGACAGCGAGCATAATTGTCCTGCAATTATCAAGTCCGCATCCGACGCGGACAAGGAAATTGTAGCAATTAATGAGCATCACCACACCAATTAAGACCTCTAGCGGTGGCTACGGGAACTGGCAATTATAGTACGCATGCGGATGACCGCTACGAACTATAAGTACCGTGCAACCTGTGCATGTATCACTCTTATCTGCCATGTCTCCGACTTTCCTACAATTAACTATGATTAAGGATTCTCGGGAGAATCCGAAACGTCAGGAAAATAAAACCCTTGTTCCAGTGATTGCATCTTCTTCTGAACTGCTTCCTGGAACTCGCATATTCTCCTTTATTGGCCAGCCTATGTTGTCCGTTATAGTCGAAAATACACCTCAGAATTTTGGCCAACATGTCATGAGACACACCATCTATCATAGGTTACCAGCCTTTAATACAAGTACTGTGTAGTACTATGACAATTTACTAACACGTCGATGAGCTTAAAGCAGACCTTGGGGTTAGCCGGAATGGTCGACGACGCAGATGGTGGGGCCATCGTTATTCCCAGGAGCCTGTTCTTGAATTTCTTACTATGTAAAAAATCTCTTTTCACAGTCCTACTTCAGTCGAGACTTAGGCAGACGTAATTGACATAAATAATACGATCACATGTACATAACCGAATTCTAAGATACGATCGTAATGGCATTCAAGTTTGCATTAACTCACCGCTCAGTCAAATCCTGCCGGTCGATAAGTTGCTGGGTACACAGAGAGGATTCAGCGTCGTCTGCGCAAACAAAATAAAACCCGGAATCTCAGAAAATGCGAAATGCTCTCAAAAAACGCAGATCACCACCAGGATCTTTAAGCTGGATGTCTATTGCCTATTATTGGATCATGATAAATACTCGTACGTCAAGCGAGTAGTGATTAATAAACTACTTATGCATGTGCACTCCAAAGTCTACGTAATCAGTCTAGTAGTGCATAGAAATTGTGGATTTAGAGTATAACAATGAGCGCAAATGAAACTTAACACTACCATAAGAAAAAGGCACAAACGATTCAAAGATATGCTAGAGATTTCTACGCTAGTCCTATTATGAAAAAACCCACTGACGTAAAATACGCTAAGGACCAATGGTGACAAAACTTCAAACGAATTCCAAAACACCAGTAGGCTGCATGTGACACACTGTTCAGAGGCTCTGAACCGCTGCATTTGGGTATTATCTAAACAAGATTGTAATGCTACCCTCACCTCTCTGAGGGAAAATGTTACACTCATGTCACGAATCTAAAACGCATGGCTCCACTTTTTTTAGATAGGACGACGGATATTGGGGTGGTACGACTAAGTAGGAAACTGACCATGGATTGTACTACAGACTCAGTAATGTTAATAATCCTTTTTTGCGGACACAAGACGTTCACTCAAGTTATCTACACACCAGCCAAGTTTAGATTCGGGCATATGTGTGCAACGACTCATGAGTACAAGTGCGAAAATATTGTTTCCTAGAAGCATTTAAAACAAGACTGGGTCGAAAAATTAGGTGTATCTGAGACTGCTGCGTTTTTCTAACGCACATGGATGCAAAAATAAAGTGGTTTTGTGGCATCTATCAGACTACAGTGTTGTGTACAGTCAAAAGAAATTCGGGAACACAATATTTGGAGCTAATCACGAAAGAATGGGGTAAGCATAGAAGATAAACGGTTTCGGGCTTCTAAAAAAAGATTTTTGATTCGTTAGATGAGCAGGCAACCATTATCAGCGCGATTATCACCCGCAAGTGGACTTGGAAGAGACTCCATTTGATAGTATCTCAATTTAAGTACATGTTCAAGCTAGTCTAGAAAGTTAACACTTAGATTCATCATAATAAAAACAGTCCTGACGAAAATGTTTTTCAATGGAAGAAGTTAACTCACGAACAGCAAACAAACATGCCTATCGTTTAATTCGTTTATAGGCAGAGACGAGTTTCATTAATACCCAACAGGCTAAGTACGATGAGGTCTAACTTGTGAATTTGTTTATAGAAAGTCAAAATTGCATACAATTAACCACACATTCTCTGAACAAAACCGCTGTGCTCCAATGGAAAATGTGGGAGTGTCCAATGGCTGATAAGCCCGTGCACGAGCACTGCATACAGCCGGGTGCCTAATCCTCTGAAGCAACGTTCGAAAATGGAGTGGATTCTCGGAGTTCGCAGACATTCAGTACAGTTAGAGTAAGAAAAGGATCCAACGTGGATCCCGAGTTCAATTAATATGATTTGAGGTTAGGTGCAGAACTCGCCCTTCTACACCTCGAAACTTTCCCACCATTGAATATAAAGTAGGAGACCAAACGCCATGAAATGTTAACCGAAATTCTGAAATAAGTTAGCGATAAAGAAGTATAACTCAAACAGGGTTTTACTATTGATTATCGTGCAGCAAAAGACTAAGATATTCCAGGTGCATCAGGAAGTCAGCGTTTCTTTTCGGCGCTTGTACTAATAGTAAACATAACTACTAAATTATAGGAATTTTTCCCATTGTTTTTCGATATCCTTATCAGGGTATGTCAGTCTTCCCAAAGCGTGTTCAAAAATATCCCTTCGCACAGTCTTTTAATATCAATTCACGTCTTTCAAATTTTTATACTCACGGGTTTTTCAACTAAGATATTTTTTGCAATCGTTAAAGGTCTACTCAAACAGCATCGCGCCTATCTTGCATGATATATGATACATGTACATGGGGATGGCTTCACCATACTCCCAAAACGGAACCAATTGCAGGACCGGACACCTGGTTCGTCTCCGTCTACTGATGCATTGCACAACTGAGGGTTACAGCTCCTCAGTAGGCGGCCTTAGGGTTCTCCCGAAGGACTCTGCTATATGGGCTTCGTATATTGCAGTTTTAGGCGATGATAGTTGAGGATGCCTCCAATCCCACGACGAATCATCGCATAGAAAGGCACATGCGTGAGCCGCCACGCTGCCTGTCATGAAAAGGTGCATCTGGACTGTGGCCACAGGTATCTCGTCAGATCTGATTGGTTCATATTGGCGAGAAGTCCTTCGCCTCTTTCTCATCAAGCGCATGCAATAAATACACGGAGCCTTTTTGTGAGAATTACGTGCCATTTGTGAACACAGTTCCCCTTGTGGTCGATTTCCTTCCTTGCCCATGCTGACTTTTGGGACAACAGTCTGTCAAGCCTACAGATCGCTTTAATTACAAGTACCAGGCGCGGGTCATGACAGTGACACAAGTTAGTGTCCTCTGAAAAAATTGTAATAAAACGTTCAGTTGAGAGTATTCGCATTCCTCGAAAGGATCACCTATTGGATCTTCTATGAAAAAGTTCAACCATCAGTAGTATATACTTACACTACAGTGCCCTCATCGCGCTCCGCTACATAGCTAAAGGCCTGAATTCCATGGTTCAGCTGCTATAGTTCGGGCAGCTGGGGGAGTTACAACTCTTCTCCATAATGATTCTGCCAACATGTTCCTCTTGATGACTACAACGACCTCCACTTTCGTGGCGCGGCACACTTCAGCGCTGCTGATAAATACGTATGCCAATAAGAGGCGTTTACTGGAAGAATCCGCAAATTAACATTAAAGCCCATATTTTGGAATCAAGTGATATAAACGTAACTATATATGTCGATAATAACAGCTTAACCCTACTCTCAACCGTATTAAGAAAACCCATTTGAAGTGACTATCCGCCGATGTCTCTGTGGCTGCATAATGGGCATACCATGTATAGACCTTTATTATACACCGAAACACCCTTTCAATAAACTGGATAAGTGTCCAGGCAAATAGCAAACTGTTAACATTTATTTCCTTAGTGGACAGTCAAGGCTCACCCATTTGTCTCAGAGCTACTTGCTTCTTAAACCTTTAATTTAGCATAATCGATTTCCAGAAGAGGGTAGGTAGTCGCGGTTGCAGGGGAACCAATGACACGATGCCTCCAGATCCAAGGTGAGCATTTTTTTCGCGTAAATGAATTCACTAAAACGAAGAAGCTTCATTGATGAACCAATTACGGACTAAGTGACTTACAACAGACAGGGAAAACAAAGACAACATGTATTAAAAACTACTTTATTTAAATAGATCTGAAATCAAGCAACGAAGACCATAAAAAGGCGCGCTAGATCCAATAAATGAATAAGAAAACACATGGTTATTTGCAGCGTAAAGTCTAGAGAACCGCGTTAACCACAGTTGATCTCATCGCTTGAATAACGGCGGCGGGATCTTCGGCATTTGTAATGGCACTTCCCGAGACGATCATATTTGCTCCGTTCTGTCAAGACAATAGAAGTATCGTTTAAGAAAGAGAACGCCTCGGTCTTCTAAGCACAAATACAAACGTGAATTTGCCCAGCCGCGAGCGACTTGATGACTTAATCCCAGCCAGGGTCACACTTTCTCTAGCTACAGAAGCTGACAATTTCCAAAAGTTTGCCTAATGAATTATGTTAACTCTTAAATGGACAGAGTAAGGATGAAATTACATTCCAAATTAATTTTGTTTGCTTTACAAAAATTTCTATGGATTCATTGGAACATTTCTATCGCCACGAAAATTTTCATGCGCCATGCATCATTTCGGTCAGTTCTTCTCTAGGGTTTTAGATGGTGATCTCTGAACTTGAAGGCGGAGTGAAGTACACTGACTTCGTCCCAAATGAGGCGGTCCGCATTCTCTGCAACCTGCAAGGGATTTGACGGGTTGGATATAATTAATAACAATTATAATGTACAGGTCTAAAGAGAATCTATCGAAGGCATACATATACTCGCCAATGTATCTTTTGAATTTTTCAATGGAAATTTTTGCAACTCTAGACTATTTATCAGAGAAGGGATTGAACTCTTATAGTTCTTCGCTATTCTGCCAGGAATCTATCCAATAACTCCTTGCTCATCACCGACGGGACACGGGAATAGGAACTTTCAATTAAAGATGGCCTTGTACGAAATTCCAGGGAGATTAGGGTTAAGGTTTGGATTAGTCCTAGGACACGAGAATAGGTACCATCCCCCGGAGCTCTAATTCCCGTGTCTTGTTGATTATTTGAATCTTTCGAGCCGGTAGACCAGATTTTTCTGATTCAAATCGAGTTTTTGCAGGAAGCGTGGGTTCTGAAAAAGAAGGTTTAAGGCATCTGCACGGAAATTACCGGAGATTGCCAATGAGTCCTTAGCCTTGTCACAAACATTTCGCATAGAGAACCCATCTGTATTTTCAAGTTCAGAGTTTACTTTCAATTCATTCCGCGTAAAAGACGGCTAAATTGACTGAATGCTTAGGGCGACTGTCAGAATCGCACTGGCAAGGAAGGTAAGCTGTGAACATAACTCACATTGAGACATTCGCGGATATTTTTCGGTCCGACGCCGCCGTCGACTTCAATGTTGAGATTTTTATACCTTTCACGCAGGTTGCGTACCTGGAATAACGAGCAAAGGGAGAAAATACTTCATAAAGAGTG